TAATTGAATAATTAATCATTTAATCAATATCTCGATGTGGATTGATGTATTGTTACAACCTTATAGATATATTAGCTTTGAGTATAAAAAGCTTGCTGGGGAAAGTTGGCTACATAAGTGAGAAGAAACTGATTTGCTGTGATTTCAGTAGATATTTTTACCATACAACAGACAGATGTTTGGAACAGTCAGTGGACCATGTCAGTTTAACATTCTGCAGACTCTACCTGAATGTGCTTTTCAATTTCCACCTTGTGAACAAGATCCCATTATAAATCAAGCTTCTCCACTTGGAGCATCAACTCACTTTCAATCCATTGTGGACAAGCTACCAAAACAATAGTTCATCCATTATATAGCCGCTTCTTCCTTTCAAGGTCACTGGTGCCCATATCCAGCATTGACTGTGCGAGGGGCGGGGTACACCCTAGACAGGTTGCAAGTCCATCACAGGGCCACATAGAGACAAACGTCTATGGGAGGAAGCCGGAGTGCCCAGAGAGAACCCACGTATGCACAGAGAGAACATGCAAACTCTACCCAGAAAGGTCCCTGGGACAGGATTTGATCCGGCGACCTTCTTGCTGAGAGACATCAGCTCTACCAACTGAGCCACTGTTCTGGCAACTAAATAAAAAATCCTTCTTGGTTTCATATGTGTTCATAAAAAACCCTATAGCTGGACTGTTTTTGCAACTAAACTCCATAAAAACAAAAAGGTAACACCTTTTTTAAGGCATCGACCTGAAGCATCTAGCAGGCGTTTCCCCTGGAAAATGTAGTTTAAACTAGATTTAAAAAACGTTGGAATACTGTGTTTGAAAAGGAGGCGGTCGAGGACACTCTAATGGGATGTCAATGTTGTTTAGTGTCTGCTCAGTGAGCAAGTAGGTAGTGTGACTCACTGGATGTTGACTGCTAAGAAATGCTTGCCAATTGGTTACTTATTTTAAGCACCGTGCTTTTATACTATTCACTGAGAGTCGCTGTTTTCAACATCTCATTTACTACAAAACACACCGGCTTTTAAGCCACAAACCACTTCTGAGCTGTGGAGAAATTTAGGCTTATACAATAAGAAAGACCTGCCTGTTTTACTTATTTTTTTAGATGAATGTTTGTGATATTTCACCACATCCAAACTCTGTATCCCTTCCCTGACCTGATTAAGATGGAGTAAACTGTCACTGAAATACCGGTAGCTCAGACTTCAGAAAGAAGGAAACAACTCGAAGAACCAAGATGGCGGCGGTGGCGGCAGATGTATGTAGCTGTGCAGTATCGCTGCAGGAAAATACATCCAATTTGGCTTTACAGGCATCTGCAGGTCTGTTTTTGACCAAATTTACCTCAGCTTTAGTGTTGCTGTTACTCTGTATGCTACATAAACGGAAAATCAAAGACGCAAATGACGGACATCATTTTCGAAAAACAACAGCACACAAGCGTCCTATGGCGTGTATACAAGCATTGACCATAAGTTATCCTAATTTTGGTAAATATCATCTACCTTGACGGTTGGGCTGGTTTCTCCGGCTTGCTGCTGTTGCGGCATCTCGGTGGAGTGGCAAATCAAATTCTGGAAGTGGTCATTCAACTAGATCTSTTACAAAAGGACAACTGATAATACCAACTTTTAAAAACTGTTACGGCCAGAGGTCTTTCTTCTATGTTTATACTAAAGCATGGAATGACATTCCTCAAAACATAAAAGTCCATTTCAAAACTACAGCCCTTTAAGAAGAATCTTGTCTGCCATCTGCTGGACACTTTTTGTTGTGCTCATATTTAGACGTCCTATTTTGCAAATGCTGCCTTTTTGAAATTTGGTATGCTTGTTTGTCTTTGTGTCTATGGTGTATAATGATGTGATTGTGATGCTGTAATTCTGAGTGTTTTATGTGCTGCAGAACAGGAACCTGCTGTAAAACAGCAATTATGCTGAGTCAGGCTTGATTTTTAATTATCTTTTCCTGTTAAATAAATAAATAAATCAAATCAAGAAGAAAAATCATTTTTGCATAAGCAACTATCATCTTGTTTCTAAGTTTCCAGCAATAGAACAAAATAAAAAATGGAGAAGACCTTTGACATTTTTTGTGCCAGTCTTTCTCAGTTTTTGCTCACTCAAAAATCCCAATCCATCCGAAGATAACAGGAATCTGCTACTGCTGCTGTTCGGAGTATGTGAGAAACTAGGAAGATGTATCTCAAACGAAACGGCAGGGTGACATTTTGATTATTCAGGAGAAAGGTCAGTGTGAGAGCTACAGTATGAGTTAGCTAACAAAAATAGCCTAAATAGAGATTTTGGATCACCCCTTACTTTTTAGTGGGACATGTTCCACAAAAACTAGTTTCTACAGAGACAAAATGACAAGGATCTTCAATAGCAACAAAAATGAGACTGACAGAAGCACTCTTAATGGTGCGTTCACACCGAACGCGATTTCAGCTTCAAAATCGCAGCCAACGCTGAAGTCTGAAGCTTGTGCACTTTGAGGTCAGACGCAGGACAGTTGTTGAAGCGCCGCACGGCGACAGCCGCCCCGCCCCTCCCTCCTCTGTCGGGCTCCGTTTAATGTCGGACGAGGAAGTGGCTTTGCTTTATTTACAGACAGCCAGAACGTGTCACGTTCATCAGATAATTAATTCATAATTAATTCACCAGATAATTCAGAGAAGAGGCTCACAGCTGCTTTCAGGACTATTTTTTTCAGTCTGATGAGTCGCTGTAACGCATTGCTGCGGATCAGGACACGACTGCAGGCACTCATTTTAGCTAAAGAGCTCCGCTCCGTCTGTTTCAGGTTGGTGGACCTCATTCAGTAAACTGTCCCGTCGGGAAATATGTCGCTACGTCACACAGTGGAGTCTCTCTGATTGGTTGACGCTGCGCGTCGAGCTGCAAAAGTTCAGATTTCCCAACTTCAGCGATTTGGACGATTTGGACGATCTGAGCGTTCGACGCTCAGATCGTCCAAATCGTCCAAATCGCGCTGCTCTAATCGCGCTTGAGGCGCCGCAGAACTTCCCGACGTTGCTTGAAGCGCGTCCACCATAGACTTTGCATGTAAACCTGCTGCTCCTGACGCTGAAATCGCGTTTGGTGTGAACGCACCATAAGAGATGTCTCTGAGACCAATGAGCTGTGGGGAAATTATGTAAGTCACTCAGTATACTGGGTCACCCAGTTGTGTTTTTATGTGTAATATTACTGCTTCAATCGCTGCAGATATTCTCATTTAGCAGATTCTGTGTTTTTTTACAATAATGAGTTTCTGTAATTACAGTTTCACCAGAATAGTGTTCTATTTTTTTTTACATGAAAAGATTGCTACTAGTCTCATAATGACAGCAACAATGCAGTCACTGAGGAAAAAATATGAGCTGTTCCATCAACACTAAATAATAGAACAGTTTTATGATAAATACGCAGAAACCTTGATTATCTCGCAGACTTTGAGTGGTTAGTTTTGAAGCCTTGCACAAAACAATGGCAGTCTAATCTCAAGTCTTTCAACTTAAAACATGATCTGTGGAGCAACAAGAAAAACATTTTGTCTTCGGGGGCAAAGGAAACACTTGCAAACCTCTAGCAATTTTGTAGCTATAGGGCAAGAAAAATAACACTATGTATGTGTGTGGGCTGGTTTAGGAACATATCAAAACCTGCCTTGAGAAACACACATAAGGGGTGTATTTAGCCTTCTGGGCAACTGCAAAAACTTGCAACTGCTGAGCATATGGATAATGGAAGCATTGTCGATACAGGTAGGATGTTTGACTGCTCCATAACATGGACTCTTTGTTTCACTCTTGCAGTGTCATGTTACTGGCCCTTGCTGTCACAAAAAACACACACACTGCTAGCTTAGTATAGGCTACAAAGCAGGCAGACTCAAAAAAGACCCTGCATTTAAAAATCAAAAAATGACTGTAATTTTATAAAACTTTTTGATGGATTTGAATTATAATTTACTCAACGTAGTTGTAAAATAAAGACATTTAAAATATGTACAGTAGCTACTAGAGAAAATGAAAAACAAGAATTGTAAATTAAACATGCCAACAGCTTCAAAAAAGATAACAAAAATGCATTACATTAAAAACGGATGTGAAGAAGTGAGAATTTCAAAATAAAAGCCGTTGTTTCTCCAGCATTAGGCGGGACATTGATGAAACAAAAAATAAAAATGTTTTCCATGAAAAGAAAATATTTTATACTTTTATTTGTTGTTCATAGACTTTCAATTACATTTCTTAAACTGGGCCTGATAGATTTGCCTCATCGTTTTAAGTTGTGATTCAACTGCAACTTTATTTTATAAATCGTAACCGGAAATAAAACAACAAGGAATTAACCGACTAGCTTAAAAATAAAAGGCGATAACTAATTCATGTTTATTGGACATCAGTTAGCGTAGGCACATATCGGAGTTAAAACAAGGCCCTGAGTAATAACTGATTAAAATGGTAATAATAGTAGATAACTGTCRGTTTAAAAATAAAAAACCCAAACACCCCCTGTGATGACCGAGCAGGAACACAACATCGTGTTCCAGGAAGAGATGCAAACATCTCACCTTTAAAGGGTTAAACAAGAATAAATCAGGGAATTTAAATGACTATAGCTCAAAAGCGGTGAAGTATGTGTGCCATGCAGGTGTTTAAAAGAAGCAAAAACTCCAATTTCAGGATTATGTTATTTTTATGTTGCTACGAGTTTCGCAGCATCGGCTCGGTGTTGCAAACACCCACCCGTCCTGCAGCATTTCCGTGTTTTAGTCGGAATCATTTAAAATGAACCCACGCCACGTCGATAAATACATGGATTTTAGTTTGATTWCAACGCAGCACGGCAGCTGAATGCACTTCCTTTGCCGAACACTGCGACATTGTTACCAGGTTAATAATAAGTGAAAGGCTGCGTGACGTGTCTAAATCAATGAGTCCGGGTCCAGAGCGCGGCCGGGTGATGCTAAAAGAACCGGACTCACCCAGTGCCACCTCGCAGGCTTTGCGCAGCTGGGAGTGGTGAGCCTTTTTCACCTCCTTGTCGGCCAGGATCTTTTCCAGAGCTCGTGTGAGGAACATSTTCTTCGTTTTTTTCCCCTCAAACATGTCGCAACGGAATTGGAGCGAGGTGTTGCCCGGTCCCAGGGAGGGCTGGGGGGGAAAGGGGGGGTGGGCTGCAGCCGCCTCGAAATGGAGATGTATTCCTTTGGAAATGTCAGCCGCAGAGCCCTTTCCTCACGAACATAAATAAATACAGAAGGTGGCGTAAATCCCTCAGCTCGCCGTTAACAACCTGCCTCCTGCGCCATGTTGGAGAGAGGAAGCGACGTCACGTGTGTTTAAAGGCGGCTTGAGGGAGAGGTGGAGACCACCCCCCACCTCCCAATATCCACCTCTTAACCCTATTTAACCCCCTTGCCTAATAACTTAATATTCAGATGTAATGCTGGAAAATCGTTGAGCAAATTTGCTCTAAAGTTTATGGCAAGCCGTTGTAACATATAATGAAACCACACACATTTCTTTTTTATTTAGATCAAAGTGACACAACTCCTACTGGGGAAAAAGACAGATAAATTTTATTTTCTGCGAAAATACGACGGGAAGGCTGAAATATACTAAAGAAAGAAGCAGAACATTAATGCTAAAAAAAATAGCGGTCCTAAAAATTAATAGTTAGCGGTAGCAAAAAGCCAAATGTAACAAAATGCTAACTAAATGAAGCAAAATGAAAGAGCAGCTAACGTAGCAAATAAACAAGCAAAATGATCCTATATATACACACACATACATACACACATACATACATATATATATATATG